TGAATATAATCTTTCGCCACAATCCCACACTAAAAGCCTGGATTTAAGATACAGCCCTTCTTCCATATAGAGTTACATACACGAGTCTATCATCTTAAGATAAAATGATTAGTTTAATTGCAACTGAATTAAAGAGTCAGATCGTTGATGAAAAAATCAGCTCAAATTTTTTTCTGTGATGGCCGACATTACTCCCGATATGTCACACAAAAACATACTGAATATAGTTCTGAGAACAGCCAGTGAAAACGGTGAGGTTCGAGAAAGGCTTTTGAAATCAGTCAAATCCACTGATAAGACTGGAAAAGAGATGGCTGAGCTAATTTTATCTTCTTTACATAAAGAAGGTATTGACAAAACAAAGATGGCCTTTCAGTCCTATAACTACGCGAGTTCAATTTCTGGACAATTTAAGGGAGTACAAAAGTATGTAACAGAAGAAGTTGGTCATAATTGCCCTACATGCCTTGTCAAGACCACAGAGAAAAGACTGCTCTTAAATATGCCTGCAATGTTAATACTTTAATACGAGAAAACACCTTTCCAACTTAAAGTTCTACCATTTTTCGCGACGGGGACTGTATTAAAATAGTGGTGGTAAAAATCTGAATATTCGATAAAAAATCTTTTTAAATATTTGTAAAAACTTAGCATTTATCTCTGTTATTAAACTTAAGACAATGGGAGGAGGTAACTGTGAAGTCATAAATTGTTCGAATAGCCATTATAAACTTTTCAGGTGGGAAAAACAAGAATGTAATGTTTATGAAGGTTTGAAAAAAGAACATTGTGGTTGTAATCATCCTTTCAAGTTTTCCAAGTTCTTTAAGAAAAACTAGAAATAGAGAAAAGTGGAAAGTTTTATCAAAAAGAGAAGGAAAAAATAAGAAAATATGGAATCCATAAGACAGTGATCGTGTATGTTCTGTTCATTTTGTAGATGGATTACCTACCATTGCGAATCCAGATCCTACTTTACATATGGGATATAATTGTACTGATATAACGCCTAGAAGAAGTTTATATAAGCGTTTTCCAAAATCAAACTTTTCATCTTCGATAGGTTTCAACACAGACAATAATAAAATGAACAATTATATTCAATATTATTGAATATAATTGAGTTATTCAATACCAGTGTAAAATCAGAGTTATGTAATACCAGTGAGTTATATAATACTAATAATGATGATACAATTTATTTACCATCACCAAGCTGTGAACATTCATATGCTAGACATTTATTGTTATATATGTGCGAAGGATTTAATGCAAAAACCTCTTAAATTGATTCTCATGTTAAAAAAAAAAGCTCCTTGAATATATCTTTGAAGCAACTAAATCAAAAAAAAGTTAATCAAACTAAAAAATTATCATTTTTTTCATGCAATAAAATAAAAACAGACAAAAAAATGAACTTTTATACAGTGATCTCTACAATAGATTTATTTAATGCTATCTTCTCACTTATTATAACTTTTTATCCAAAGTTGAGATACTGGCGAGAACCCAAACATGGTCAGATTTTTGGCAAGTTAAAGCACAAATTTCATTCACCTAAATATAGAAAACTTACACATCGTGATAAATTTTTTTTAACACTTATGCGACTTCGCCTGGGAATTCTTAATGAAGACATTGCAGAACGATTTGGAATTTCTCCTACTACTTCTTCTAACACATTTACCACATGGATTAAACTTTTAGGCAGTGTGTTTGGTAGTGCTCTTATTGTATAACTTCCAGGTGAATTTATCAGAGAAAATTTGTCTATAGTATTTAAAAATGCAGGGTGTTGTGTGATTATTGATTGCACTGAAGTTTTTATTCAACGACCAAAATCTCTTCTAGCACAAGCTTCAACTTGGTCTTATTATAAACAACATAATACTTTTAAGTTTCTTGTTGGAATTTCTCCTAGTGGATTTATCACTTTTTTATCTGATTGTTATGGTGGAAGATGTTCTAATAAATTTATAAATCAAGTTTATTCGAACATTACTTATACAAGATAGTGGTTTTTATGACTTATTAGAACGTGATGATAGAGTCATGACAGATTGTGGATTTTAAATCCAAGAAGAACTTTTGTTACGATTTTGTACTTTGATCGTTCCTTCAGGTGCCCGTCTTATAAGTGCTGTGCGGCCGTGGCGCAGTGGTTAAAGCGCTTGCTTTAAAAGCAGGAGATCCAGGTTCGAAACGAGCTCGGGATATATATTTTGCGACACGGTAAGGAATGAGGCGTGAACTTCCTGGTTAAATGCACTTCCGCGGTGCTCTGTGACAAGACCGCAAGGTCTTCTTGGGGCACCTAAAAACAAAAGAAAACAAAAAAAAGTCAAATGATTGCATCTGAATTTAAAAAAACAAAAAATAGCTAACTTGAGGCTACATGTGGAAAGAGTAATAAATAGATTGAAAACCTATAAAAGTTTGAAGAATGTTTTTCCTTTAACTATGCTGCGTCATGTCGATGATATTGTGAGGGTGTGTGCAGCATTATGTAACTTAAAACCTGTGCTGGTCAATAATGCAAGAAATGCATTATTGACCAGCACAGGTTTTAAGTTATCACTATTTTAAATGCAAACTAAGAACTTTCAATTTTAAAGACAATGGATAATTCAAACTAAATAATATGCTAATCTAATTTATAAGGTGTTGAAAAATGAGTTAATGTTCATTCAATAAATTATTGATTTTGTGATTTCCACGAATTTTTGAAAAATTTTAAAATAACATTTTACAAACAACGTAAAACCTTATTAATCATGGGCTTAACACTCCAGCGAAGGTATATGAAAAAAAAATCTGCTTATAAATCAAAAAAATGTTATATTTATTTAGTAAAATATATTATTTAATTAAGTAATAGATTTTCCTTTAAAATTTTTCACAGTGAAATTGGCATGAACTGGTGTCAAATAAGAAGGGAGGGGGTGATATGTATTACTAAAAATTGAATGAATGTCTGACCTCGCTGACTTCAGAATCTGTGTTTTCGTTGAAAAACAAAAGAAAATCTTAAAAAGTCAGCACGATGTTTACTTAGAAAATCATTCGAAAGTTTTTTATTTTACCCACACAGTTCAAGTCCAGGCCTCAAAATTTTACGCGGTTTTTTTTTATTGAATTGGTGTATTGTTTAATGTCCTTAAACAGTTGAATGTTTGCTTCACATCTACCACAAAAGATTTAGTCATTTAAAGAAAAAACTTGAAAACATTGACAATGCAACACAGCTTGTTAATCTGTCTAGAACAAGATGGACCGCACAAGCAAAGTCTGTCAAGGCCCTAAACCAGTGTTTAGAGAAGGTTATTGATCTTTTTTAGAGCATCTCTATTAATAAGATTTTCGATACTAACACGAGAAGTAAGGCAATAGGACTTTTTAAAAAAGTAACAATTTTTGATTTCATTATCACTCTTTTCTTCATGAAGAATATTGAGAAGATTAAAATATTAACAGAAATCTTTGAAAGTTCAAACTTCAATGTAATTGACACTATTAATGTAATTGAAAGCACTGGCAAGAACCTACAAAATATCAGTTACGACACAGATGCTACGAATGATTTGATTAAAAGTGCAGTGAAATTTTCTTAGAAATCACACAATGATGCAGAAAACGATTACGGGCAACACCATAGATTAACAGCCATGAAGATGGAAGTTTTTTTATCAGAAAAAATTTAAAAAGTCAGACTCTTTAGCCGTGGTTTTAACCGAAAACTCTGCTTTAAAGGAAATATTTGCCCCCATCACCAAAATCTTTAGTTTTCTTTTAAAAAAGGACAATTTGCGTATTGAAACCTTAACAAAAGCAATCAACCTTTTTCCGCCTGGATACAAGGATCAAATTCCAGACGCTGATGTGTTGAAAAGCCAAATGGAAATTTTGATAGATATCTATTTAGGAGATGGTGATAAAGAATTCAAGTCATCAAGACAGCCAGCTAAAACGTTTCAAGACATTTTTTACCACGTTGTGAAATTAAAGGACATACTGAGAAAAGCCCACGCATTTTTGTAATCACAGTTGCATATGGTGTAGCATCTAATAAGCGTTCTTTCAGTTAACTCAAAATTGTAAAATCACATCTGAAAACATCAATGAGTGACGAGAGTTGGTTAGTGTCATGCTACTCAAGTGAGAAAAAGAACTTTGTAAAGGAATTAACCCTGAACATCTTGTTAGAGGATGGGTTCAATTGAAAAAACGTCAGATAAATCAAACAGTAGATAAAAAATGATAGACTAAAGATAAAATATTGTGTATAATGTTTCAACCTTTTGTCGTATGTCAAATTTGTCAACAAAGTAACAATTTTAGTTAGCAATGTTGCAATCTTCCTGAAGCTTCTATTTCAATAATATTATTCATAATATTCCATATTTCACTAATATTATTCCATATTTCAATAATATTTTCCATATTACTTTTTAGAATTGAATTTTTTGTATATATGTGAAGCGAGCTATGTTTTGTTAATACCCTGTTAGCAATGGTATATGGGTCGTATATTAGACCCACGTGGGCTGTTTTATGGGCCCTAGTTAGGAAGCCTATTTGATACCCATAAAAATTTGTCCGCGGTTTTTCAATGGGTCCTATGTGGGCTAACCATATAGTTAGCCCATATTGTACCCAACAAACTCCAATGTTTTTTGCTTGTTTTTCTTTATAACGTTTTTGATGGTTTGCCTATATTGAACCCATTAAAAACCTGTTTTCTTTTATTTACTTTCAACTATATGGAACTTTGATGGTTAGCCCATATTGGACCCAATAAACTCCTTTTTTTCATTTACTTTGAACTATATGCCGTTTTTGATGGTTATACCATGTTGGATCTAATAAACTGCTATGTTTGTTTTAACTACTTAAACCTATTTGGAACTTTTGATGGTCTATATAGGGACCCAATAAACCCCTATGTTATTTTATTTACTTCGACCTATACTTTGAACTCGAGATTCACAATAAACAACATGTTGATTATTATAATATTTATTACTTTATTATGTCTCATAACATGTATAAAAGATTTAAATTATAAAGTGACTAAGGTATATTCGGTTGTTTTGTAGCTCCGACACGTTTAGCTCTATTACCATCTCGATCACGAGCACCAATGAGCCATTTTGCGAGCGACACTTCAAAATCTTTTTGCGTATATGCTTATGTCAAAGCATTGCGCTTTAAGGCTCCTATAAGAAATAATCAAAGAAATTTAAAAATAAAACCTCATTTTTTGTCTTTCATCTAAATCAAATGTGGAAAAAAAAAGATTCCTACTATATTTTAATATATGATAATAATCAAACGCAATTTATCTATTGTGTTGTACTAAAATAGTAAAGTTGCATAGGAATATTAAAAAAATTTATTTTGGACTATGAATACTTACTATAAACAACTTGGAACACCTCAGTACCCTTTAAAACTTTTTTTGTCATCCCTCGCTGACAATTAAATTGTAGTGCCAAATTATTGCTAAGGAGCTGCTGCATCATGCGGCGAACAGCTTCGTCAACTTTTCTTCCTCCGAGATCGGCTAACAAATTAACCTGAAACACATTTAATCAAAGATATTTTAAGCATAACGAAACCGAGTCTTAGCAAAGCAGGAAACTCATGAAAATGAAGAATAATATTGGAATTTTCAAATAAAGGATTATTAGAGGAAAACCTAGAAAATTGGAAAACTAGTAAAAAAAAAAAAAGTATTTTTAAGAATACTTTTCTATAATAATTTTTTATTTATTTAACAGCAATTAAAAAAAAAATTCCTTACAGAATAAGAATTTTGAAAATGCTATATAGAAGCTATATTGAACTCAGGTAGTTTAATTAAGCAACAAAATGTAAATATGAATAAAGCTCATATAATAAAATATATTAAAAATAGAAACAAACCTTTTGTTTGAAACAACTCATACAATTAAATGAAAGTTTGTAAAAAAAAGTCATTAAAAATCTTAAAACAATAAAAATTAAGAAAGCAGGTAAGTAGTATCTTACGATTATGTTTGCAATATTGCTATCTTAAAGCTTTATTTCCATTGCATCAAAAGCTTTCATGGTATCCATTGGTAATATTATTCCATCTGGTAATTGTGATGCCTGCATTGCCACATTGCCTTGTTGAAGCATAGCATTTAGCATATTAGTGTAGATATTCTGAGTTTGTTGAATACCCACACACACATTCAGCAACTTTACAACCAATGCATTTGTTGTTTGATCTTGTTATAGTGAAAACAATGAAATAACATTATCATTTATTAGATTTAATTAGTAAAAAAAATAATCACTAATCAGTAACCACTCACTAGAAATATTGCTGCACAATGAAGAAGATACCTCACCAATGTTCGGTAATGTTACAGCATCTAAAAAATTGTTAGCTGTACAATAAAAGCACCAGGAATAATAATAACAATGACATGTCATACATTAAAAAATATGCAAATTACGCATCCTTATGAATAATTAACTAATCTTAAACTAAAAACTAAAAAAACTTAAATTAAACTAAAAAAAATTAAACTATCTATTATTTAGCTTATTTCAGGTGAGGCTTCATATTCATGGTGAAGACAATTTGCCGAAAAGAAGAAAAACTTTTAAAATAGGGGTTTTATGAGTTTTAACCCTTCCACAATGTCATTTAATCTCAAAAATGAAATCATGGAAACCTATCCAAACATTGACATAAAAAACTTAAAAATGTAGCTCTTACCAATATTTGAAGCCGTTGATGCAATCGTAGACAAATAACTTACTGCTGTGTTTGAAACACCAGGGCACTGGGTTGGTGTCATCAATGGTGCAATGTCTTGAGATGTTAATGTTGTTACAGAAGATTTTTGTATAGTTGATTTTGTTGATAGTATAGAAGGTGAAACTGATAACAATGTTAGTAAATTTGATTACAATGCCACAGAAAATTAAGGAGAAGGAATTAGGTTTTCTTTAATTGGTTTAGGTTTCCCAGCTGATTTTTTTTTTTCAAGAGGAAAATAATCATCGCCAGATTCAAAATCTGATGACATTTTTCTAGATGCATTTCTAAACATTAGGTGCAATTATCACAAAACCTTTTTAAAAATAACTACACACAATTTTGTTACAATTTAAAACATTTTAAAATAATTTAGTTCAAATTATTAATACCTTTTACACCTAATTTGAAATTCATTTTTTTCAGCCTCCTGTTCTGTAAAATTTAAATCAGAATTATTTTCTGCATACTCTAACTTTTCTCATAGCTCTAGTGTAGCTTGCTGAATAAATTAAAAAATTATTAATTACAAGATTTTATTTATGCTATACATATCCAGTATGAAAAAAACAATTATATAAATAACACACTTTTATAAATAATATAGTCAATAATTCCAAAACAATAAGAATTTCTCTTACCAGCCTTTCCTAAAACACGAATCTTGAATGCATCCCATTGAGCATCAGGTGCCACTCTGTTTTTTGCCATCTTCTGAGCTTTTGTTGACAATTTTTTTGGAGGCCATAAACAAAATTCTTCTTCACTGGAAACAAACCAATTTGTTGAAATGATTTCAACTTGATTAGAATCACAAAATTCTACAACTGCACAAGCCATATCTAGTGTTTTTCTTTACAGTAACTACAACAAAACAGTGTTTTGAATATAAATAGATAACCATAAGATATAAAAACATGCATTTAAAAATAACACAGAATACAATCTGAATATGATATTTTAAAATTGAATATATCTTAAATGATCTTATTTGCAGATAGCTTATTTTTTTTAAAATGCTCTTTTTATACCAGTTTTAAAGAAAGAAGCCAAACTGACAGTTATTCTAATATTACAATACAAAAAAGTAATATATATTTGAAATAAGTCATTTGTCTGGATGAACCTTCAATTATTATATTATAATTAAAAATTGAACATACTTAAATTAAAACATTTTAAATTCAGACAAATGACTTATTTTATTGCACTTTTTTTATTATTTAAAAACAATAAAAAACAGATAAATTGTCAGTCATTACATTACAAAAGTATTAATAGTAATTGACAGTCATTGCAAAAAATACCTATTTTTTTTATTTTTTTAAAATTAGTTTCACAAACAAGTTAAAAAGTACTTATTTTAAACAAAATCTTATTCAATATACAGCCACAAGTATTATATTATTTTACAATAATATTTTACCTAATATATCATTTTTTTACTTACAAGACAACTATTTTTATTAAGTTAAATCAATTTTATTAAACAACTAATATATATATATATATATATATATATATATATATATATATATATATATATATATATATATATATATATATATATATATATATATATATATATATATATATATATTATATATATATATATATATATATATATATATATATATATATATATATATATATATATATATATATATATATATATATATATTTATATATATATATATATATATATATATATATATATATATATATATATATATATATATATATATATATATATATATATATATATATATATATATATATATATATATATATATATATATATATATATATATATATATATATAACAATACAATATGTAAACAGTAACAAAAAAAGATTATATTTAATAAACTTCTTGACTGCATGTCTTCACAACACTGAAGACCAATAAAATCTGTTCAATATTTTTTTCACTAATGCATCAAGGGGATAGCTAAATAGTTACCATTATCCAAAGGCATGATAACAAATTTTTGTTCAAGATCTAATATATTAGCATACCTTAAAAAACCTGAAAATTTTTTTATTACAAATATTTCCAATAGTGAAGACTTAAGTGGACTATCAAAAAAAGAACTAGATTCTTCAACAGAATCATAAACAACAAGAATATCATTATTCATTGATAGAATAATATTTTTGACAACTGATAATGTCCCATGAATTTTAAAACAACTGTCTCGTAAAGAAATAGAAACAAAAAACTTTTTTCCTCTGTAGTTTTTATATTGGTTATAAAATCCTGGGAGCAAGTTTGGGGGCATAAAACCTGTTGAATGTTTTTTCTATAACAGAGTTACAGCTTCTTGGTCAACAGACATTGACTGCCAATTTTTTGTTGTAGCAAATGCCTTTTCTTCAAATCGTTTAATAATTTGACCTATCAGGTTATGCAGTTTACGGATGAGCTTTTTAATAACACTTAATTTATTTTCGAAAGGAAAAGCTGAAACATTATCTAATGCTCCATATAATCGGCAGTCTTGAACCAAGTGAATTAAAGTGTGAACATTATAAACTAGTTGGTTATCACCGTATATTATACAGACGTTTTGAACAAAATTAATCAACAACTTTTCCGCATAATCACAGTAGTGTTCACATGCAGCATATCTTGGACATAATAAAATCATCATGGCTATGGAAAGTGTCAAAAAGTTTTAATACATGTGTTGTGGCAGTTGAAGTACAACTGCTCCAGAATATAACAAAAACTGTCGGAGCTCTGTAGCTTTCCACTTTCTAAATTCAAATAAAGATTTTGGTTGCCTAGAAAATTCCCTTGGCATTGCTTCTCTCAAGGAACACAAATTTTTTGATATTTTGCTAATAATAATTGATGGCTGCCTACATTGGTATTCACCCTTAATCCATAAACATATAATTTTGCGAACCACACCAAGGCAAACTAGGTGCATATAGTCTAAAAGAAACTGAGAAATCATGCCAATGTTAAGTTCAGTAAGCGGAGATACCATATTTGAAGTATGATGTTCTTCATCCGTGTGAGCAAGAAAAGCCTCATCAGTTCTCAAAGGTGCGTCTAATTTTGGGAAAGTCATTTTATTTGAACAATACACACCTTCTTGTGTGCAACGCTCACAGGCATTATAACCACTATGCCCTTTGATGCATTTTATAAAGGCTCTGGCGGGTGCATCACAAATAACAGCATTTATAGTAACTGTATAGTGCTTATCTAAGAAATGTATACCTTCAACACTCAAATGTTTCATTTCTATAACAAAATCATTTAAATAAGCACATGGTGAAGATGGTTTTGTTGTACCTGAGTAGAGCCCAATAATAAAAACATCACTTAAAGATATTTCAATAATAGAACCTAAAATAGGCCATAGCTGCACATTTGAGCTGCAAAAAACTGGTAGACCATCAATATTAATGTTTAGTCGTAGATTTACACAATCAGCAGATAACTGTTTAGTTTGCAAGAGCGATTTAATTGCATTTTCAACACCAACATAATGATACATACCACCTGCAACTACTTTTTGTGAAACAATAGCTGGTGTTTTTAATAAAGTTCTAGCATCTTTAGGAAGTTAAACTCCTACATTTTGAAATATTTTTAACAGAGCTTTAACAGCCCTATGTGAAATATTGAAATCATTTATCCATTGCCGAAGTTCTTCTTGTATATTATATTCATCACTGCTTGACGAACTTGAGGTAGACTCATTATCCGAATCAGTGCTAAACTCTAATATTTTATTGTACAAATTGTCATTTCTAAAATTTGAACTAGCTCCACTCAATGAGACTTCTGTAGATACATGTTGAGGTAAATTACTATCTGCTATTTCACCACACCAATTAGAGGATGTATTTTGATTATGTGTAGATGGATTTTCATTCCCACTACCTACTATCACCCTTGCATTCATCAAATCATCTTGACTTATTGCATTACTTAACATTGTGCTAACAATCTTTTTTACTCTACGACGATGTGTTCTTGAACAACTTTCCATTTTTACTAAAAATTTTTGTAATATTTTTTTCAAAAAAAAATCATTATATTTCAGTGGCGGAACTACGGTTGTGTTTAGATCATATCCCATTAGGAACGATTATTTATATTTGCGTATTTTTAATTGCAAGGTAGATAAAAGCTTAAAAAGCAAGCGAGATAAAAACAATAGTTAAAATTTCGGAAAATCCGCATTACTAGCATTGGCTATTCGGATATTATTAATTTTAACACCAAATATTTATTGTTGAGATTACAAAAAATATGAATAAATTTCTTCTGTAAAAAAAATGTATTTTAGATACGCGGTATAATCCAATGCGGTTTTGCACTATTTCCGACAATTTTGTTTTCTAAATGACATTGAAGTGTTATTAAATTTACCTTAAACAACGGTGCTATTTAATAAAAATACAGAATAACAATAAACAAAACTAACAATGAGCAATGTTTAAAAATGATTTAAGTACCAAAAATGCACTATATAATGCTTAAAATAACGATCTCTAATTTTAAATAAACTTTTTTAGGGTAAAACCATCAAATCATGGCCGCTTAATTTTAAACTGCTTCATGTTACCGCGAATCGCTTAGATTCTTAAAAATATTTCTAAACTCTTAAAAAACCTCTTGAGATACAATTTATGACAAGTTTGGAAGCTTTTGTTAATAAGTTTTAGCACAAATATTAGAAGGCGTGAAAAACATCAAATCATGGCCAGAGATCCAAAACATGGCCATTGCGAATTTATTCCTGGCCATTAAGTTTTACAAAGTAAAAATAGTGATAATACTTTTAAATTTAAATTAAAAACAAAAGAAATTAATTGTAAAGAGTTTCAAAAAAGAAGTTCTGCATAAATTTTTTCTCATATAAATTTAGTTCTTTTTTTAACAGGTAAACAAACAATAGATTTTAAAGCGCTTCACAACATTTAATGTTTTCAAATTAGCAAATGTCTTCAAATAAATAAAAAACGGCTTCGAGCCGTTTAAGTGCCACGGCTGCTAAAATCTAATAATAATCATTTCATTTATATCGTATCTACACTCTAAACCCGAATGGTTCTTCAAAAAATCTTCAAGGGTTCTTCGTGTTGACGCTGGTGGAGAACTCGTAGAGGTTCTTCAAAGAACCCTTTACGAAGGTTCTTCGGAAGAACCTTAAAATAAGGTTCTTTAAAGAACCCGTTATAGTTTTTTAACGAACCGTTCAATATTTTTGCATTATTACTTCGTTGCACGGATACTTTTTTGACTTCTTGAACATTTTTTATTATCTGATATTTATATAATATATAACTATTTAATAGATTTTTAATATTTAATTATAATCATTTAAGATATTTAAGGTAGTTACTTAAGGCCAAAATAGAAATGCAAATTACGACTTTCCTAAGTATTTTACATATTTTTCAAAATATGGCAATAAAGAAAAAAAACCTTTTTTAAACAATTGATATAAATATTTTTAAAAAATTAACAAAAATAAATTTTATTTTACAATCCAATATATCTATGTTTATAAAAATATATCATCAATTATAAAAAAGGTTTTCTAGTGTTAAATCCACTGTCCAATATATAAATGTTTTTGCTTGAAATTAGCTGTACGAATAAACGTGAGATTTCTGAAGTCGCATTCGTTTGAAGAATTATCTAAAATTCAATAATGGAATAAATATATATATATATATATATATATATATATATATATATATATATATATATATATATATATATATATATATATATATATATATATATATATATATATATATATATATATATATATATATATATATATATATATATAAGAGAGAGAGAGAGAGAGAGAGAGAGAGAGAGAGAAATAACAAAATAGATAATATTGTACAATTCATTTTTTGTAATGCAAATCAATTTTGAATAAAGATTTATATATATATATATATATATATATATATATATATATATATATATATATATATATATATATATATATATATATATATATATATATATATATATATATATATATATATATATATATATATATATATATATATATATATATATATATATATATATATATATATATATATATATATGCTTGTAAGTCTTGTCCAAAAAAGGCTTGTTAAAGTGAAATTCGATCTCTTTTCGACCACGATGTTGAATGCACGATGGAGTGCAAATAGTAGATAAGATATCTATTGCAAAATGCTTAAATAATAACTTTTTCATCACCTGAAACTCAAATACAATTTATAAACACATTTCTTTTTTTCAAATTTCAAAACATAAATATGAAGACAATCTTCAATGTAGGTATGAGAACTTATGATTGTGCTCTCATTAAGTTAGTAGACAGAAAGGAGCCTGTTCGTTTAAACATCTCATATTCCATTTTGAGTCAAATGACTTGCTGTCAGACAATCAATACAGTTTTCGATCCTCTCGCTCATCGATTTGCTATGTGGCTAACTACTGTGACTGAAAGATTGTGCATTAGATAAAGGCTGAGAGGCAAGGGCTATTGCTCTTGACATATCTAAGGTTTTCAACAAAGTTTGGCATGTTAGTCTTCTCCATAAGCTTGATTCATATGGTGTATCTGGAAGAGTTTTTGAGATTATCAAATCGTTTCTTTGTAATGGCTTTATAAAGCTCATCATCAAAAGCCAACACTCTAATTCATTTCCAGTAACTTCTGGGGTACCTCAAGGTTTTATTATTATCTAAATTATTAATTTTTCCAGCAACATTACATATAAGGTAACTCTTTTTGCTGATGACTCAACTTTATACTCCTGTCTTGACAAAAAGTCTTCTGTTTTAGATTGCTTAGAACAGGCATCCAATCTTGAATCTGATCTCACTTCTTCGTGCTCATCATTTCATCTCTCCTGATTCCATTCTTCACCTCTACTAATCTCTTATTAGCCCCTGTATGGAAAACTGTTGTCATATTTGGGCTGGCTCTTCTTATGATGCTCTTTCTTTTCTAGATGAAAAATGCATTGTAAATATAGTTGGACTTGGTCTATCTTCTAAGCTCAAGCCTCTTTCCCATCATTTTAAAGTTAGATCTTTCTCTTTTCTACAAATACTATCATGGTCACTGCTCTAAGAAGCTTTTATCTCTAGTTCCATGTACTAAAACTCATTCTCCCTTGACTCTTCATTTAACAAAGCCTCATTCATTTTACTGTATCTGTCCCTGCATGCTCCAAAAACTTATAATCGTCTAGTTTTTTTCCACACGCTTTAAAGCTCTTTCAACCCTTAAAACTATCTATCTTTTTTCAAACCGTTGGAGCTCTCTCTCATCTTCGTGTTTTCCTGACTCATACAAACTACATCTTTTTAACTCTTCTGTTAACCGTCTCCTTGCTCTATAACTATATTATTTTTTTCTAGTAACTCCCAACTTAATAGTGGTTGCTTGCAGCCTTATTAGGAGTGAATCAGAATAAAATAAAAAAATCATGATGGTAACCATGTATTTAGACTCAATATAGGTACAGTCATCTTGTAGTATATATGTATCAAGCAGTTGATAATCACAAACTTCATTTGGTAAACATATTGGCAAAGATTCATACTCTTTAACTCTGAATGTGCAAAATAAATATATGTGCACATATGCAGATGTCACAAAGTAGCAGCTTACCGCAAAATAACCAGAGTGGTCATAATTAAATAATATTTTGAAAAACAAAGGAATTTCATCAGTTTTTAATAAAGATAAAAAAAATGTATTGTACAAATAAAACTGAATCCAACTTATATTACTAGCATTACATTTACAAATAGTTTCTTTTTTATCAAAAACATCATTGACAACAGTGAACTCCTGATACCTAGAACCCCGGATAACTCGAAAAACTTTCGAGTTCCCCTTGAGCCCTTACTAACACTTTCTTATAAAAATCACTCGATGACTCAACCCCCTGATAACTCGAACATTCACCTGATAAGTCAAACTGTTTTATTTGTCCCAGTGGCTGATATTTTACCTATAACTTGATCTTTGAAAGAAAAATAACACAACGTCTTATTAAAGTGATTAATTTTTTTTATGAAATCAAATTTATTTAATTTTCTGCATATCACTCAAAAGACATATTTTGACATATTGAATGTTCCGATAACTCAAACATTCTCTAACTTGAATTGATTTCTTGGTCCCCTGGAGGTTTAAGTTATTGGAAGGTTATATATATATATATATATATATATATATATATATATATATATATATATATATATATATATATATATATATATATATATATATATATATATATATATATATATATATATATATATTGTTTAAGTGACATCGTTAATAATATATTTTATATTCAATTGATTAAAAACATCATGTTCCGCTATATATTATCTTTATTATTATATGGTGATATTTTGGCTTATATAGTATAAACCATTATCAAACTGAAAAAACTGTTATACAAAATTCATAAAAACTAAAATCAAAAATGACGTCATTGCATTGTT